AGGAGGCGGCGCATTAGCAAATAAAAGAAGAAAATAAAATGCAAGCTGTGTTCTGGTCGCAGCAGTCGGTCGATAAATAACTGTTAGAAGGATAATAGTGGGGAAATACAACTTCCTTAGCTGTTTTATGGCTTCGTTAAAACGTTTACTACCTTCATTTGACATTGTCATGATTTTAGTCAATCATAAATAAAATGCAAATCATAAAAAAATATTTAGTACATTTTTTCAGTCAGTAACAAAAAAAAAACAACGTCTGGTGCATTGTAGCCCAGAAACAGCAACCAGGAGCGCTGTTGTAGAATTGACTGAACAAAACAAATGAATCTGTATTAAACAAATATATATTCAAACTGACTCATCTCATCGCATTACAGATATATCAGTAAAACAAACTCCTGCGTTCCAGTGAACAATTTGTCACGATAATTGAGCAACGCTGTTTCCGCACATTAATAAACAACTTGACACGGTATTTTAGCCTCAATAAAAAAATCAAGTTGGAGAGGTGTAAACCCTTCATCTGTCTCTGTACACTTTAACTGTATATATGTATCCATCTGTCTCATCTGTACACTTTAACTGTATATATGTATGTGTAAATATATATATGAACGCAGTATATTTGGATACACATATATGCCTATATGTGTATATACTGTATACACGCACACATATACAGTATATATGTATATATATATACATATATAAATATGTGTGTAAATATACACGTTATAAAAATATATAAATAATTAATGACTATGATCAATATGCTAAAACATTTTTTTTTCGTATTTTATAGTGTCAAAATAAAAATAATCGCCTGTTAACCCTCACAAGAAAAATAAATAAAATATAACTCATATTTGAGTTGTCGTATTTTATTGTCATTACTAGCAAGTTAGCGGTGGCCAGTGGAACAGACCGGTCAGTTGATCAGTCGTCAGTCCCTTACAGTCATTGACATGACGCTGTATTTTAAGCTCGATACGCTTGTGTGAAACTAAAACGTTTCCCCACAGTGTGTTCAAATAACATAACGTGTGTAGATCGACTGTCCACTGGGGGAGCAATAAGAGGATGAAGGGTGGAAATCTGATTAGTATACATGTAGTATTGATCTAAGTATATATATATATGTATAAATATGAATATATTTGTATTTATGACATTTTCACATACAGTCGATAAAAGTACCTGTAAATAAGTAACATCTATATTTGGCGACTGCTGTTGTCTTCTTCGTGGATTTCAGGACATGCTAGGCTGTGGTTTGTCCGTCATTTGCATTCATGCAAATTTGTGTTTGTCGGAAACCGATGTACGTGATCTACATTCACTGTCTACTCTGCGCACAGATCTATCATCAGGGGGAAAAAAAAACACGTGATCCAGGTCTGGTTCATCTGAGGAACGACGCTGGTTTGTTGTTGAAACAGATTAGGTCGTTTTTGTTGAGCCTTGAGATGCTTGAAAAGTAAAGAAAGAACAAAAATTGAAGCTGAATTCTTGAGGACCTAAAGTGGAGCAGAGGATAATTAAAAGTTGTTTTTTTTTAAATACTCAGGTTATGAATTTAATTTCAATACATTTGCTGCTGGATAAAGCTCAGCCTCAGTTTCCTGTAGTTCTGGGATGAGTGAGAGTGTGTGACGGGGGTGTGAGTGAGCGAGGCAGCGTGACATCCAGAGCTTTATAAGCTTTTTCACTAAGAAGCAGAGGAACACACACACACACACACACACACGGTCTTTAAGGAGATGCTGATGTCAAAACTCTGCTCGTCTCCGTCTTTAGAATCGCGCTCGTGTGTGAATGTGTGTGCGTGTACTCGCCAGCTTAGCGGCGTATCCCTCTCTTCTCCGAGACGTTCCACTAACACACTCTCTCCGTCTCCTTCTTAGTGTGAGTCAGTGACTCTTTCTCACAAAATCTTTGAAGACCAAACGGCTGAATTTTTTTCTGCGTGGGGGGATTATGCTGTATCACAGACTCACTTCTAAATGTTCTGCCTTCATCAACACCTGTTGTTATCTATCGATGCATCTATCGATCAATATGTCTTTCGATTTACCTATCTATCCATCCATCCTCCGTCCAGCTGTCCATCCATCCATATAACTATCTATCCATCCATCCATATATCCATCCATCCATCTATCCATCCATCCCTCCATCTATCTATCTATCCATCCTCCGTCCATCCATCCATCCATCCATCCTCCTATCTATTCATCCATCCATCCATCTATCTATTCATCCATCCATCCATCTATCCATCCATCTATTCATCCATCTATCTATCTATTCATCCATCCATCCATCTATCCATCCATCCATCCATCCTTCTATCTATCCATCCATCCATCTATCCATCCATCTATTCATCCATCTATCTATCTATTCATCCATCCATCCTTCTATCTATTCATCCATCCATCCATCCTTCTATCTATTCATCCATCCATCCATCCTTCTATCTATCCATCCATCCATCCATATATCCATCCATCCATCTATCCATCCATCTATTCATCCATCCATCCATCCATCATCATCCATCCATCCATCTGTTTTTGTAATCTAATCTAATCTAGTCTTGTTTTATTTGGTGTTTGATCCTGTTATTTTGACCGATGTTGGACTGATACCTTTCCTGAATATCAGGTTGAGCCCTCGTTTTTCCATATATATATTTATTTTTGATACACTGTACCGTCTTCCACTGCTGGGTCTCACATTTGATCTGAGTTTTTGAAGAAGCGTTAAAATCACAATCAGCAGAATTTAAATAGTAGTTTTTTTTTCTCTCTTTTTTTCTTCCTTATTTTTCCCTCATTCTCTAAGCGACCAGACCGAACCACACCACGCTCCCTCACGTGCACCCTCACGTGCACCCTCACGTGCACCCTCACACACTCACATGCACACTCTCAGCCCCTGGGCAGTGTCCAGGTGGACAGACAGGCTGCTGGCATCCTACGTGTACATTCATTTTCTACTTGAATAGGCCCAGCATGGACACACACACTTGCACAAAACGTTTAATGACACACACATACACACACACACACACACACACACAATGAGTCATTAATGGATAAACATTCCTTGCTGTCTCCAGGATTCAGGGTCAAAGCGACCGCGTGACGCGGTGTGTGGTCGGGGATTTAGGTCAGCTACAAATGTGGGGACCATTAAAAAAAATTCCTCTTGTGTCGTCTCCATGTTTAGACATGTCCCCAATGAGTTAAGTAGTATTTTGAAGTATTTTGAAGTATTTCAGATTTATTATCATATTTAGAATTACAGTAAGGATTCAAATTCTGGAACATTTTTGCAGTAGTTACGTATATGGGGCAGTGGTGGCTCAGTGGTTAAGGAAGCAGACTTGAGTCCGGAAGGTTTCAGGTTTGAGTCCACCAGCTGCCAAGTTACCACTGAGCATGGCACACTGCTCCCCGGGCACTTAAAGCTGCCCACTGTTCACTTTGGTGCTGGGTTAAAAACAGAGGTCAGAGGTCACATTTGGTTGTGTGCGGTGGTGTGATGTGTCACCATGACAAGCCGTTCACTTTCCTTTAACTGTTTAACC